TTGCCCAGGCTAGTCTCAAACTCCCTAGGCTCAAGCAATACTGCCCACCTCAGCTTCCCAAAATGTTGGGATTACAGGCATGAGCCACAGCATCTGGTAGATCAACTGATTTTTGACAAGGAGGAAAAATCCAGCAGGGAAAGAACTGGTTTTTTTCAACAAATTGTAGTGGGAAAACATATACATGCAAATGAATGCAGCTGAGGTTGGGCACAGTGGCTCAAGCCTATAATCCCCGCACTTTGAAAGGCCATTTGAGGTCAGGAGTTCAAGACCAGCCTACCCAACATAGCAAAAGCCCATCTCTATTAAAAATACAAAAATTAGCCCTTCTCGGGAGGCTGCGGCATTAGAATTGCTTGAGCCTGGCAGGTGAAGGTTGCAGTGAACTGAGATTGTGCCACTCACTCTGGCCTGGGCAACAGAGCAAGATTCTGTCTCAAAAATTAAAAAAAAAAAAAATTCAAAAAGAATGCAGCTGGATCCCTATCTCACACCATATACAAAAATTAACACAAAATGGATTAGAGAGCTAACTGAAGAGCTAAAACTATGAAACTCTTAGATGAAAACACTGATTTAAGTCTTTGTGATAGTGGTTTAAGACAATGGTCTCTTAGATATGATATCAGAAGCAGAAGAAACGTAAGATTATAGGCATGGTGGCTCATGCCTATAATCTCAGCACTTTGGGAGGCCAAGGCGGGTGGATCATGAGGTCAGAAGATCGAGACCATCCTGGCTAACATGGTGAAACCCCATCTCCACTAAAAACACAAAAATAAAATTAGCTGGGTGTGGTGGCAGGCGCCTGTAGTCCCAGCTACTTGGGAGGCTGAGGTGGGAGAATGGTGTGAACCTGGGAGGCAGAGCTTGCAGTGAGCCAAGATCACGCCACTGTACTCCAGCCTGGGAGACAGAGCGAGACTCCATCTCAAAAAAAAAAGAAAGAAAGAAAAAGAAAAATTAGACAAACTAGACTTCATAAAATTTAAAATTTTTGTGCTTTAAAGGATACTGTCAAGGAAACTAAAAGACAATCCACAGAATGGCAGAAAATATATGCAACTCATATATCTGACAGGGTACCTTTTTCTAGCATATATGAAGAACTCTTACAGCTCAATAAAAAGAAAACCCTATTACAACAATGGGCAAAGGATCTGAACAGACATTTCTTCAAAGACATATAAATGTCCAATAAGCAAGTAAAACTACGCTAATCATTAGTAATTAGAGATGCAAATCAAAAGACACAATGAGCTCTCATTTTACATACACTAGGATGGCCAGAATCAAGAAGATATGTGTCGGCAAGAATGTGGAGAAACTGAAACTATCATAGCTGGTAGTAAGTAAAATGGTATAGCCACTTTGGAAAACAGTCTGGCAGCTCCTCAAAAAGTTAATCATAGGGTATCTATGACCCAGAAATTACACTCCCATTTTCTGCAATAAAAATGAAAACATACAGCCATACTACAATGTTACACAATTGTTCATAACAGCAATATTCATAACAGTCAAAAAGTGTTTCTACCAACTAATGGATAAACAGAATGTGATATATGAATACAATGGAATATTATTTGGCAACAAAAAGGAATGGAGTGTTGATGCATGATACAGCATAAATAAACCTTTTAAAACATTATGTTAAGATAAAGAAGTCAGAAACAAGAGGTCACATTTTGTATAATTCCATTTATATGAAATGTCCAGAATACGTAAATCCATGAAAACAAAATAGTTAGTTGCTGCCTGGAACTGGGAGGAGTGTTTTGGGGTTCCTTTTCCAGGTGACAGAAATGTTTAAAAATTAAATAGTAAGGGCTGCATAACTCTGTGAATACAGTAAAAATTACCAAATTGTGCATTTTTAAAGGGTGAATATGTACAAGAATTATACATCTCAAAAAAACTCTCATTAAAAAAATAACGACATCGATGTTCAGCTCTATTATGTAAACAGCTTGGAAGTCATTACTCCCATCCTCACAAGAAAAAAGCGGAACAACTGAAAATCAACTACTCTTAGATGCATTGGAAAACTGAGTTCACAGGTCACAACACCTCCGGAAAAACTGAAGAAATGTGAATATAGACATATGGAGCTATATTTACTCTGGAGCCAATAACTGGAAGGAACACTTTAAAGGTAATTAGCAAACTGCTTGAGACTGAGAGTGAACTAACCTGAGCTTTAACTCGTGAGGGCTCAGTCTTCAGGGAGAGAATATAGGTGAGAAAAGGAGCTCCACAGGGTTTTTATTAGAGGAAAATCCCCTCCATTTTGGGTAGGGAAAAGGGAAAAGCAACCATTTTGAAATCTGACCTAGAGGAAGAGCAGTAATTCCAGCCCCTTCTAACCTTCCTGAGACAAGAAGAGGGAAAAAAAAGGCTTAAGAAATTCTTTTGAAGGTCTGTTCAACAACTCTAGCCAACTAAAAAACCCAACAGATTTCATCATATGATTACAGAACACTTCTCCTCTCTACTACCTTATGACCACATAAACAGGGTTCCAGTATAACAGATTACAACTGAGAAAATTATAAGAAACAGACTTTTTTTATTAATAAAAGTTTCTAAGGACACCCAAAACAACAAGACAAAAACCAGGAAAGTAGAGGAAAATGAAACGTCTCATACCTACAAACAATACAAACACCTAGTGAACATTAAACACAGCCTAACTCCTAGCCAGACAAACCTAAAATCGCACATTAAACACATGTTTACCTGAGTTTCTACTACTCAGTAAGTCGTGTCCAGATTTCAGTAAAAAATTGCAAGGCATGTAACAGGCAAGGAAAAGGTCTGAAGAGACAAAGCAAGCATCGAAACCAAACTCAGATAAGGTAGATTTTGAATGATCAAACTAGAAATTTTAAATAACTCATTAAAATACTAAGGGCTATAAGAAAGAATCAAAACCAAATGCTAGAAATAAAAAACATTAACACAAAGAATGCCTTTGATGGGCAATCAGCAGACTGAAACAAACAAACAAAAAAAGAATCAGTGAGCTTGAAAAAAACTGGAACATGCTATTTTAGAATGTAGGACAACTATAAAAGGTGAAAAATATTCATAATAGTAATGCTAGAAGGAGAAGAAACAAAGAAAATGAAGTATTTGAAGTAATAAGAGTTGATACTTTTCCAAAATTAATGACAGATACCCCAAATGGCAAATCCAAAAGCTCAGAGAACACTAAACAGGATAAACATCAAAACATTAACACCTCATCTTCAAACCTAGGTCAAACAAAGAGTAAGTCTTGAACGAAATCAGGGGGAAAAAAAATACCCTATATGAAAGAAGGATAAGAATTTTATCAGATTTCTCTTCAGAAATCATGTAAGCAAGAAGAGAGCGGAGTGCAATATTTAAGTGTCGGGGAAAAAACCCCACCAAGCTAGGATTTAGCATCCCGAGAAAGTATCCCTCAAAAGTAAAAGAAAAATAAAGACTTTCTCAGACCTGGGGAACTTGTCGCCAACAAACTTGCCTTGCAAGATTTGTTAAAAGTTCTTCAGAGAAAAGGAAAATAATGTAGGTGAGAAAAGGGAATCCTTACGAAGAAAGGAAGAGTCCAAGAAGGAATAAATGAAGATGCACTCTTTTATTTTTCTTAAGCTTAACTGATCACATAGATAAGTATTCAAAATAGTAACAATATCTTGGGTAACTGTTGTTTATGGATAAGTGAAATGAGTAACAGCAATGCTGTAAGGGTCAGGAGGGAGGAATTGGTTATATTCTGTTATAAGGTACCTGCACTATCTGTGAAGTAGTGTAAGTGGTATTTAAAAATGAACTTAGATGAGCTCTAAGGGAAACTACTAAAAAATCTTTTTAAAGAAGTACAATTGGTATCTTAAATAGAAAAGAAAAATGGACTCATATACAATGTTCAATTAAAATCAGACAATGGGCTAGGCACAGTAGCTCATGCCTGTAATTCCTTTGGGAGGCCGAGCCGCGAGGATCACTTGAGCCCAGGAGTTCAAGACCAGCCTGGCCTACATGGCAAAATCCCATCTCCATAAAGAATACAAAAAATTAGCCAGGTGTGGTGGTGTGCCCTTGTAGTTCCAGCCACTGGAAATCTGAAGCGGGAGAATCACTTGAGTCCAGGAAGTCAAGGTTGCAGTGAGCCAACATCACGCCACTGCACTCCAGCCTGGGTGACAGAGGGAGACCTTGTCTCAAAAAAAAAAAAACAAAAGAAAAAAAGAAAATTTTAAAATAAGCAACAAGGAACAAGTATAATGAGAAAGAAACATATGGTAGACACTAAAATCCAACTTTAACAATACTTACAATGTGAATGGTCTAAATATACCAATTAAAAGACAGAACTGACAAGAGTGAATAAAAAGAAAGACCCAAATATATGTTGTCTACAAGAAACTCACTCTAAATATAAAGACACAGATAGGTTAAAGTGATGGAGAAATACACACAATGCCAACACTGATCAAAAGGCAGCTGGACTAGTTATATTAATTTCTAACAAAGCAGAATTCAGAACAAGAAAAATTATCAGAGAAAAACAGGAGCATTACATAATGATCAAGGATCAATTATCAAATAAGATGTAACAATCCTTAATTGTTGAGGGCCATGATCAACTCAGTATATTACTGGAGGCTATATAATTAAATAGCAAAGTGTTTCTCATAAAAGCAGGATGTTGGCAAACTGACAAACTGTGTCTGCTGCCCAGAAGAAATGCTGAGGGCAGCCACCACCCGGGCACAAGTGTTTCTTGTGATTAGGCACAACTGAAGCCTGTTAGCAATAATGTGAACCTGTGATCAATCAAGCAGCTGACCAATCACTACCTCCTCCTCCTTGCTCTTTCTACCCAATAAATACTAACGGCTGTAGAGTCTCAGGCAGTTGCCTTTGCGCACTAGAAGCAGGGAGCCCTTGTCTTCTCTTCTTTCTCTTCTTCTTGCCCATGTTACCCTTAACTTTGAAATAGTTACTTTTGTCTTAAGTTTTCATTTCTACTTCTGTTCCCTTGATTCAGTCTCATAATGATGGTCTCAAGTAGTAACAGTAGTAACTGTCTTAGTGATGGTCTCAAGTGGTAACTGTGGCAGTCAGCCACACTTAATGTGTCTGAGCCTCACAACAAAGTGTCAAAAGAGGTGAGACAAAAACGATAGAGCTACAAGAAGCAGCAGTTAACTCCACAGCTATAACTGAAGACATCAACACCCCTATATCAGAATTGGCAGACAGAGCAGGCAGAAAACCAGTGAAGATATAGTCAAACTGAAAAGTATCATCAATCAACTGGATTTCATTGACATTTAGAGTATACTTTATCCAATAACCACAGAATACATATTCTTCTTAATCTCACAAAAACAGTCACCAAAACAGACCACATTCTGGGACATAAAAAAGACACACCTTAATTAAAGTCACACAAACTATGCTTTCAGACTTTAATGGAATTAAGCTAGAAATCAATAAAAGAAAGATAGCTGGAAAATCCCCAAATATCTGGAGATTAAACAACACATTTTAAAATAACATACCAGTCAAAGAAGTCTGAAGAGAAATTTTAAAATATTTTGAATTAAATGAAAACAATGTATCAAAATTTGTGGGATGCAGTGAAAGCAATGCCTATAGAGAAATGTATAGCACCGAATGTAATAGTGATCTAAAATCAATGATTTACCTTTCCACCTTAGGAAACTGGAGCAATAAATATAAACCAAGAGAAAGAGGAAGAAATGAGAAATAGAGGAGACAGCAGTGAAATTTAAAAGAATAAAATAAAATTAAAAATCAACAAAATTAAAAGCCATTTCTTTGAAAAGATAGTAAAATTGATAAACCTCTAGCCAGGATAACCAAGAGAAAAAACACAAATTATTAATACCAAAATCAAAGACATAAGAAACTATCATTATCAGTAATAATATCAATACTGATCCCACAGACATTAAAAAAGTATTAAAGAAACATTTATAACTAACTTTATTCCCACAAATTTGACTATTTGGATGAAATGGATTTCAAGGCAATTCCTTGAAAGATATAACTTATCAAAACTCACACAAGGAGAAACTGAAAATCTGAATATGCCTCTATAGATTAAAAAAATTACATCAATAATTAATAACCTTTACAGAAATGAGAAAGAAGAGGTAGAACTCTGGTAACCAGACTGAATTGTAGTGTCAAAATAAACTCCATCCACTGAAAGAGCCTAGAAGCAATGATACCCAGTAGTAGCAAGCACACCCACAATAAATCTATTAAATAAAATTCAAGAATATTTGTTGCATGTTTGTCCTCAGAATATATCCAATCAGGGTGTATGATACATTGTGTTCAAAAGTTATCTGCATTCATTCTTTTTTTTAAATTGTGGTTACTGTTTGTAAAAGCTAAATAAACATATATACTCAGAAAAAAATAATAGTAACAATAAATAACCTTCCCAAAAAAACCAAACACTGGACCCAGATGGCTTCAGGGTAATTCCAACTAAACATGTAAGGTAGAAATAACACAACTGTCTCCAATCTTTTCCTGAAATTACACTCAGAGGGTACACTTCCTAAGTCATTCTGAGTCTAGCATTACCCTAATGCCAAAACCAAATAAAGACATTACAAGAGGGGAAAACTACAGGCAAATATCTCTCATGAACACAGATGCAAATATCCTCAATGAAGTATTAGCAAATCAAATCCAGCAATGTACAAAAAGAACTATATCTCCTTGAAGTCTGGGTATTAAAATAAATACATCAAATTAAAATTTTTTTTAAAAGAACTATACACCAAGATTAAGTGGGATTTACCCCAGATATGCAAAGCTGGCTCAACATTCAAAGAAAACAATGTAATCAATCACATCAAGAAGCTAAAGAAGAAAAATCACATTATCAGACCAACAGATGCAGAAAATGTATCTGACAAAATCCAACACCATTCTTGATAAAAACCCTCAGTAAACTAGGAATAGAGGGGCAGCTTCCTCAACTTGATAAAGAACATCTACAAAAAACCTACAGCTAGTCTCATACTTAATGGCTAGAAACTATAGACACTTTCTCTTTAAGACCAGAAAAAAGGCAAAGTTGTTTCCTTTTACAGCTCATATTCAACATCATAGGGGAAGTCCTAGCTAATGCAATGAGACAAGAAAAGGAAATAAAAGGTATATAGATTGAGAAAGAAAAAATAAACCTACTTTTGTAGCTTAAAAGATTGTTTATGTAGACAGTATCAAAGAATGGAGAAAAAAGCCTCTTGGGGAAAAAAAGCAACCATAGCAAGGTGGCAGAATACAAGGTTAATATGCAGAAGTCGATTTCCTATGCACCAGCAATGAACTGGAATTTTAAACACACAATATCACTTATATTAGCAGCAACAAAAAAGGAAATACTTAGGCATAAATCTAACAAATGTGAACAAAATTGATTCCATGAGAACTATAAAACTGCTGAAATAATCAAAGAAAATCTAAATGAATAGAAAAATAGCCTATGTTCATGGACAAGAAGACTCAGTACTGTTAAGATGTCACTTCTTTCCAACTTGATCCACAGATCTGGCATAATTCCAATCAAAATCTCCGCAAGTTATTTTATGAATATTAAGAAACTGATTCTAAAGTTTCGATAGAAAGGCAAAGATCCAGAATAGAAAACAGAATGCTAAAGAACAGTTAAGAGAATTTTACTTCAAGTCTACTCAACCTCAAGACCTACTGTAAAGCTACAGTATCAAGAAAGCATGGTATTGGCAAAAGTGTGCACACAGATCAATGAAACAGAACAGAGTACAAAAATAGACCTACAGGCCGGGCGCGGTGGCTCAAGCCTGTAATCCCAGCACTGTGGGAGGCCGAGACGGGTGGATCATGAGGTCAGGAGATCGAGACCATCCTGGCTAACACGGTGAAACCCCGTCTCTACCAAAAAGACAAAAAACTAGCCGGGCGAGGTGGCGGGCGCCTGTAGTCCCAGCTACTTGGGAGGCTGAGGCAGGAGAATGGCATAAACCCGGGAGGCGGAGCTTGCAGTGAGCTGAGATCCGGCCACTGCACTCCAGCCTGGGCGACAGAGTGAGACTCCGTCTCAAAAAAAAAAAAAAAAAAAAAAAAAATAGACCTACAAAATTACTGATCTTGTAGTTGTCAACTGATCTTTGACAAAACAGCAAAACCAGTACAACAGGGAAAATGTATCTAGATTTTACGCCTTTCAGAAAAAATCCACTCAAAATGGACCACAGACCCAAAAGTAAAATACAAAACTATAAACATAGGAAAACATAGGAGAAACACAAACACAGAAAATTTAGGTGACCTTTGGTTCAGCAATGACTTTTTACATACAAAACCAAAAGCAAGGACTATGAAAAGAAAGAAAGAGCAAATAGGGCTCATTATAATTAAAAACTACTGCTCTGTGAAAGACACTATTAAGAGAACAAAAAGATAAGCCACACACTGGGAGAAAAGTATTTGCAAAACAAATATCTGATAAAGGACCTTTGTATATTCAAAATATAAAAAGAATTCTTAAAACTCAACAAGAAAAACCACCAATTAAAAACTGGGCAAAAGCTCTGGATAGACATTTCACCAAAGATGATCTACAAATGACAAATACACATATGAAAAGATGCTTAGCATATATTACTGGGGAAACGCAAATTAAAACAATAATGAGATACCCCTACACACCTATTATAATGGCTAAAATTCAAACAACTGACATATCAATTGCTGGTGAGGATGGATGTGGTGTAATAGGAATTTCATTCATGGTTGGTGGGAATGCAAAATGGTACAGCCACTTTGGAAGATGGTTTGCCAGTTTCTTACAAAGGTAAACACAGTCTTACCATATGATTCAGCAATCATACTCCTAGACGTTTACTCAAACAAGGTGGAAATTTAGGACCACACAAAAACTTGCACACAAATAAATGTCTGTGGTAACTTATTCATAAATAACAAAATCTGGAAGGAACCAAGAAGTCCCTCAATAGGTGACTGGATTATCAAACTATGGTACATCCATACAATGGAGTATTATTTAGTGACAAAAAGTGATGAACCATTAGGCCATGAAAAAACACATACGGGTCTTAGACGTACACTGCTAAGTGAAAGAAGCCAGTCTGAAAAGACCGTGTACTGTATGATTCCAACATATGACACTCTTTAAAGGAAAAGCAAAACTATGGAGACAGCAAAAAGATCAGTGGGTGTCATCAGTCTGCAGGTAGGGGGAGAGGAGAGAAGGGAAAAGGGTGAATAAACAGAGCACAGGGGATTTTTAGTCAGTCAAACTGTTCTATGTGACAATTTGGATACGTGACATTACGCATTTGCCAAAACTCACAGAAATGTACAACAAAAGAGTGAACCCTTATATAATCTAATAGACTTTTGTTAATAATAGTGTAACAATATCGGTTCACCAATTGTAACAAATGTACCACACTAATGCAAGATGTTCTTAAGAGAAACTGTGTGTGGAAGATGGGCACATATGGGAGGGAACTATCTTACTGTTTTCTTTCTCTGTAAACCTAAAACTAAAAACCAAAGCTTGTTAATTAGGGGAATAAAAACAAAATGAACAAATATAAAGGGAAAACAAGTTAGGAGAAATATTCCAACATATATAGCAAAAAAAAATCTTTAATATACAGTATGCTTAAAAATATTAAGAAAATAAGTTCTCACAAAAACCTGTGAAAGTTTACAGCAGTTACACTCATAATTACATAAACTGCAAAAAAACCCAAAGTCCTTCTGCTGGGAAGAGATGAATAAACTTACACCCTGACAAGTGGAATACTACTCAGTAATAAAAAGTAATGAACTATTGGTACAAGCATCAATATGGATTAATCTAACAGGTATTATGCTAACTGAAAGAAGTCAGTCTCGAAAGGTTACATCCTGGCTGGGCACAGTGGCTCACGCCTGTAATCCCAGCATTTCAGGAGGCCAAGGTGGGAGGATCACTTAAAAGGCAGGAGTTTGAGACCAGCCTGACTAACATGGTGAAACTCCCTCTCCACTAAATATACAAAAATTAGCTGGGCGTGGTGGTCCATGCCAGTAATCCCAACTACCTTGGAAGCTG